AGATTGATGCAGGCAGGGTCAGAGAACCCAATGGAAGGTTCCACAGAACCAGCCCTTGGCTTCATGCAGGATTGAATTCCAATGTGAACTAGAGAATGTGGAAACAGAATTTCCTGAGTAGCATGAGTTACAGACGGAGAAAACAGTTGGAGTGCCTGGGGGACTCAGAAAGGAGAAGAGAATGAGTCTCCTCTTTCTTTGGGGTTAGGAGTTTATATTAGAAAAGGACATAGGGGGGCGCCTGGGTGGCGCAGTCGGTTAAGCGTCCGACTTCAGCCAGGTCACGATCTCGCGGTCCGTGAGCTCGAGCCCCGCGTCAGGCTCTGGGCTGATGGCTCAGAGCCTGGAGCCTGTTTCCGATTCTGTGTCTCCTTCTCTCTCTGCCCCTCCCCCGCTCATGCTCTGTCTCTCTCTGTCCCAAAAAAAATAAATAAATGTTGAAAAAAAAAAAAGGAAAAAAAAAAGAAAAGCACATAGGGCTCACGTTCTTTCAGGAATTCAATCAATCGAAGGCGAGTGTCAGGTGAACCTTAGGTATTGTTGCATAAAGTACCAAAGGCAGGAATGTTGCGGCCAGTGTCAGCTGAGGTTTGTTTGAAGTTGATGTACTGGAACGTGTTCAAGATCTGGCTCTTCTTGGGTGTTATTAGGTGTTTGGGGCCTAGTACAAAACTCAGAGAATGATAAACTTTTTTGCTTCCCCCTGGAAGTGGGAATATGGCTTGTTTGGCATATTCAGAGCAAAATACAGAAGATGAATAAATGGGGTCTAACAGAAAAAAAATAGAGATGGAGGCTTTCTAAACTGAAGACCCTTCATTTCCCTACTTCATCTCCCTGCTATGAGATTTTTATCCTCCTCATTCTTATAGAGGGGGTTGGAGGTGAAGGCCTCATCTTCTGTAACTTCTTCAAGCTGAAAGGGGTTGTAGACTCTGTCTATTGGAGGCATAAAAATCCCGACCCATCTGATTAAATGGAAGTCTCCTATTTATAAGTTGTCGGTCTTGGAAGAATATATGAGGCCTCCTCACATGAATAGGATATTTAGATTTGGAAGCCGCACAGCAACAATAGCATCCACAGCAAAGGAAGATTCCTGTTGTAATTATTATTTGTAAAAAACAAGCCAGTTGGAGTAGGAACAGAAACAAAGACAATATTTCCAGAAGGCTAATGGGCATGGAGTATTAAGAGGCCATATTTAGAATCAGTATATATATATTGAACATTAACTCTTTACCTAATTATAGTGCTTAAATTAAAGCAGCCCAGCCTCTTGTGACAAAGTATGGGGAGGCAGTTTGACCTTGATCACATCCTACAGACTGACAAGAGCATATCAAGCTCTCGTTATTTCTTCATGCATACAATTGCTTCTATCTGTAAATCATTCAGCCTCTGGATTATACAGAGGTTTATTCTTTCAAAGAGGCCTACTTGAGTAGACTTGTTTTATAATGTCCTTAGAGAGTGAACTAAAAGGTCTTTATTGTCTTTATCAAGCAGTAGAGTAGCTTGGTTCAAGTCTTGCCACACCCCAAGGGTTACATCAAGGGTGTCAAGGAGGATGGCCTGATATTTTCACAATCTCCCTCCAGTTAGCCATTGATGTCCTTTGGCCTCTAAAACTCATTGAACTTCATGTGGGGTCATTATATCCAGATGCTGTCCTAGAATAAGTGTATTAGCTTCTTCAACTAGCAAGGCAGTTGTAGCTTTTACTTGCAAACATCCTGGCCACCCACCCTCTGCTACTGGGTCTAGCTGTTTGGAGAAGGAGACTACTTGACTGAGAACAGAGCCCAGCTTTTGGGCTAGGACACCGAAGTGATTCCTGTTCTATGCCCTATATATAGGGTAAAGTAACATTGACCAAGGCAACTTCTTACTAGATATGTTATTTTTTCCTGAGGCAAGGAAAAAAAGAGAGCAAAAATAAACTATTGGGACTTCATCAAGATAAAATTCTTCTGAACAGCCAAGGAAATAATCAACAAAATTCAAAGGTAACCTTCACAATGAGAGAAGATATTTGCAAATGACATACCTGATAAATGGTTAGTATCCAAAATATGTAAAGAATTTACACAACTCAACACTCAAAAACACAAATAATCCAGTTAGAAAAAGGGCAGAAGACAGGCATAGACTTTTTTCTAAACCTCACAGATGACCTACTGACACATGAAGAATTGTTCAACATCACTCATCATCAGGGTAATGCAGATCAAAACTACAATGACATATCACCTCACATCAGTCAGAATGGCTAAAAATAACAACACAGGAATCAACACATGTTGTGAGGATGAGGAGAGAGGGAAACCCTTTTCCACTGTTGGTTGGAATGAAAAGTGGCAAAGCCACTGTGGAAATCAGTGCAGAGGTTCAGGAGAAAGTTAAAAATAGTACTACCCTATGATAGATCTATCACACTACTAGGTATTTATGCAAAGGAGACAAAAGTACTGATTGGAAGGGACAAATGCACCCTGCTATTTATTGCAGCATTATCAACAACAACCATCTATGAAAATAGTCCAATTGTCCATTGACTGATGAATGGATAAAGAATGTATGTATAGACATACAATAGAACACTACTCAGCCATAATAACGAATGAAATTTTGCCATTTGCAACCATGTAAATACAGCTAAAGAGCATAATGCTAAGCCACATAAGTCAATCAGAGAAAGACAAATACCAAATGATTTCACACATATATAGAGCTTATTTTTTTGTGTTTAGTTATTTTTCTGCACTCTCCGTGCAGAGCCAGACATGGAGCTTGAACTCACACACAGTGAGATCATGCTCTGAGCTGAAAACAAGAGTTGGACACCTAACTGACTGAACCACCCAAGTGCCCTACATATGTAGAATTTAAGAAACAAAATAGATGAAAATAGAGGGATGAAAAGAGAGAGGCCAACTAGGACACAGACTCTTAAGTATAGAGAACAAACTGATGTTTACTGGAGGGGAGGTGTGCAAGGGAATGTGTTAAATGGGTGATGGGTATTAAAGCGTGCACTAGTAGTGAGAGCACAGGGTGTTGTATGTAACTGATGAAACACTAAATTTTACATGTGAAACTCACATACACTGTATGTGAACCAACTGGAATTTATATAAAAACTTGGAAAAAACAAAGTTCTAGAACAAGAGCAGTACTTAAGGCTTGGTGGCAGCTGTCATCCCATTCTAATGGAGCCAAATTGTTCCCCTGCGTGTCTTTATAAAGGAGCCTAGCTGTGAGGCTAAACCCAGGGATCCAGATCCAGTGATGGCATACCATTCTAGAAGCATGTATAGATACTTCTTCATGATGGCACCTTCTTTATGGAATCCCTTCAGCTTCCTCACATCAAGAGGAATTTCTTTTCTTTAAATTGTTCCATATATTTTATGATGAAAAACAAGGGAAAAGAAGCACATTCCTTACTTATCTGAAAGGGTTGTGAAAGGGAGGAGTGATATTGATATGAATTTTATTCTGAATTATCATATGATACACATATATTATTACCATTTTTTAAAATGTAGTCCCTTTTGTCAAGCACAGTGTATATTCCTCAGACTGTCTGTTCTAGTGAGTATGCATTATGTTAAATTTAAATATTTCTTTTGATCATGAAAGAACACTACAGCCCTCTTTCAACCTAATTGAGTAAATTAAGCTGCGCTTACTAGTGCCATCTGGAAATGAAAAATCTACTTCACTTTTAGCCACCATTACTGTTCTGCAATTGTGGCCGTCTCTGGGGACAAATGGGGCAAAAACAAAAACAAACAAAAAACATAAAAATTTATCCCCTCTCTTCCTGACCACTTCCTCAACTTTTGTCTCCCCTACACAAAATGCCTGATTTGCTTACTCTTTGGTATCCTCAGTTAGTTTTGAGGCTTTTTTTTTGTCCAGTGTTTTAAATGCTTTAAATATGGGCTTAAAGTGTTTAATGCCACCATACTGGAACCACAAATTGAATGAGAGTTGATTTATTTATCTTTTAAATTTTTACTTATTTTTTAAAGTTTTTATTTTAATTCCAGTTAGATAACATATAGTGCTATATTAGTTTCAGGTGTACAATATAATAATTCAACACTTCCATACATCATCTGGTGATAAATGAGAGTTTAGACTCTAAGATGTTATGGAACTTTCAGCAATCATTTCTGTTATTGAGGAAGCATTAACAATAGAAGAGTAGCAGCATTTAAGATCAATAACACAAGTATATATAGAGGGAATTTGAATAGAACTTAGATATTTATCCTTTATGGCCATTCTATTTAACCACAAACTGACTGGATAGAGTGTGAACCCCTGAAAAAGAGAACACAAAACTGATTCTGAAGAGCCAACCCCAGGACCTCGCTCTCCCTCTGTGATATAGTGGTATGAAAAGTTTGCAAATGGTGGCCTATTTCAGGGGAATAATAACAGGAAGTGTTGAATGATATTTGGATATGTATCAGATTTGTGTCAAGCATATGATGGTAGAATTTGGGAAAGTGTCTAATGTTGCAAAGTAAATCTATTTACTACTTACAGATGTGGATTTCTTCCCTCCACTTCTCAACTGTTCACACCAAACCTATTCTCAATACCATTTCTTAAGAAACAACAGCAATATTTAAAGACCCTACGAGTAGTACTAATGAAGTAGAAGCAACTGAGGCCATTGTGTTAGTGATCTATAGCCTTAAGAGTATCATGAGTGGGGCAGCAAGCAAATTCATCTTTGTTTTCTGATGTTACTGTAGACTTTGAACTCTACTCAGCAGCACTGAGTAGCACTGTAGCTCTTTAGAATCTAACACCCATTTTTTTGTGGTAAAATCCTCAGGGCTTATCACCAGTTTGTTGTATGATATACTGGTCAGTTACTGATTCTGAGTGAGTTATTGATTATGGCAACTCTGCTAATTGGTGAATCGTTGGATCTGTTCATGGAAACTTACCTTTGAACTGTTTCTCTCTCCATCCAGCAGCAACAATTATTCTTCTCACTGACATTGATACCAGAAGTTAACTCTTCTTTTTAACGAACTCCTTTTGGTGAGTAGTTTCAATCTTGATTGGGGGTGGACATTTTTTGGATTCTCTTTCTAGGTTCTTTGGCTGATATAGTAATTAAATTGGCATAAAACAGATTAATAGGTGAAAAACAAGTTTACCTGCGTATGGCAGCACCATAAGACAGGTAAAGTCAGAGACAGTCCTGCAAGGGGAATACAATTGAGCCTTGTATACCCTAAAGAGAAGGGATAAAAGGGTTAGGAATTCAGAGGAGGAAGACAATTCACAGGAACATGTGAGGAGCACATACTGGGTGAACAGATGTGTGTCCTGCCATGCAGTTGAGTCTTACTGACATAAAAATATATCTCTGGTAATAACTTTCTTCCTGGTACAGACTCCTTATGAAAATTGTTTTAAGCTGTTAAGGAAAAGATGAAAAGCTTTCTGAGTTTCCTATGTCTGTGTTACTTCCTGCTCAAAACAACTACCTGCTAGAGCAATACATTTAGGGGTGATGTACTCTGCTCCCCTTCATGTCTCTGAACTGTATTCATTATGCAGTCTCAGGTTTTGATGATTTTTCTAAACAATACGCTAGATATATAAAGATATCAGCTCATATACATGAAACAAAAATATTCTGTGTCTCTTTTTCTATGCTTGTCAATCAACTTAGCCATAATATGGTTCCAAAATATTTATTTAGAGATTTAAGAACATAATGACACATAATGAATCATGACTCTAGTGTTTATACTAGGTTCTAATATAAGAGGAATGTAAAAGCTTAGAATTTATAGTATTATAATATCTGAATGACAGATTAGTTCAGTTTGGGTTCCCTTGTACCAGTTTTTCTGATCACAATAAATTTTTCCATAAGGTCTAAACACTTTACTTCCCTAGAAAGAGACCATTGATGGTATGTCCCTTTTTGTCTTCTTGTTTTGTTACTTTATTTCCTGGTAACACAGCAAAATTAGAGGAGAAAGCGTGTCCTGTTATTATTATCTTCACATCTCTACAGAAGATCCAGCAGCCGGAGACTCTTCTTCATCACATCTCCTTCCCTGGTGTCCCTTGTAGGTGAAATCTTTTGGCCACAAAATTATTTTGATGTATTTTTCCCACTTTAAAGTATATTCACATCCTCCGTCCCATTTCCCAAGGGATTGTAATTGCAATGTCACTTCCTTTAGATATGAGAGTCCTTTCTCCTTGGCCACCTGGTCATAAAGGCAAATTCCCTTATTTTCAGTGTATTTCCTGGTACTCCTGCATATCAAGAATTAGGCACTGACAGATGTTTTAATCAACTTCGACTGAGTGTGTATCATTCTAATTCCACACCTATTGTGTAATAGCTTCAACATTCTACACTGGGTAAAGTTACACATGTCACATGCCACGGTTGCTTCCCATCCAATGTGCAGTCAGGTAGGGCTCAGATCAGGGCATATGCATCCCCCCTGAAGCCTTCTCTACCCATTTGTCTACACCAAGGAACATGTATGCCATTTGATTCACGGGAGCCGCTGGACAGCATGACCATGATGAATCTCCAATCCAGATGCATTTTTTACAATATTTCTCCCCAGGAACACAAAATAGAAGATACTGTTTTTTTCTACCTTTGTGAAAAGATGATAAGGAACCAACATTCACTCCCCAACATTCCTGTATCTTTCACACAAGTCTTTCATAACTTTTTATCTCACCATTAGAAGTCCTGTATTTTCCACATTTTTATTAGCAATGATCATTCCTCCATCTAAACTTAAGAACCAAATACGTATTTTTATTACTTATTTTTTAAAGTTGACTTATTTATATTTAGACAGAGAGAGCATGAGCAGTGGATGGGGCAGATAGAGACAGGGAGAGAGAGGATCCCAACTCACACTGTCAGTTTATACAGCCCAGCTTGACACTGGATCTCACGAACAGTGAGAACATGATCTGAGCTGAAATCTAGAGTCCCATGCTTAACCGGCCCAGCCACCCAGGCAACCCCGGGCATATGTATTTTTAAATGTATTCTAAACTGACCTCCCTATCTTTACTAACAGTTGATACTTAACTACCTGGTTGTTGATTAGATTTTCATGTGGGAATCACATAAATTCTGTTAGGCACTTAAAAATTTGTTGCACCTCACATCATATTTCTGGTTACATTTTAATAGCATCATGATGAAGTCATGCTTGTACAAAACATGTTTACTTGTTCTGATTGATTGTAATCAATGTTTGCTCTCTGATATTCCAAATGTCACCCTTTGGTCACTAGCAGTCCTCATTTTGATCTCTTTAAACCCTGAGTACCTCTTCTGATAGCAACGTAATCTTGTTTACTTTATTAGAAGATCATAATGTTACAGGCTTGGTTTTACTTTTTTGAAACTTGGAACTGGTTGTACTAATGAGCCAGCTTCTTTATATGCAAGTTAATATTACAGCCCAATGTGGTACCAAGGTGTAAATTGGGTTTTTCCTCTTGAACACTGAGGATAGTACCAAAGATACTCCTTAAATAACTCTTGTGACAAGAACTCATCTCCTGTCTCTTCCTCCACCCTTCGCTGTCTGTACCCCAACTTTCTTCCTTGTCTGTGAATTCATGTTGATGATTCCAACCAATTTTTACCTTTCAAAATTTCCTTTGTAAAGAGAGGCTAACAATTCTACGTATTCCAGTAAGAGTTGACTGTCAAAATATATTTTAAATATTATTTCCTTTTTTCTTCTTTTAAGCCATTTTTTTAAATGTTTATTTATTTATTTAAGATAGAGAAGATGAGCAGGGTAGGGACAGAGAGAGAGGGAGAGAGACTATTCCAGGCAGGAACCATGCTGTCATCTCAGACCCAACACTGAACTGTATTTTATGAACCTGAAGATCATCACCTGAGCTGAAATTATGAATGGGGTGCTTAAATGACTGAGCCACCCAGGCACCCCATCCCTTTTTCTATAATGATACTTGGCCCAGGCTTCCTGGAATTGTTTTCAAATTGTGCAATTCTGACACTCTTATTTTGTCAGCTATTGCTATAGCCAACTATTTGGGAAATATAAAAGGCTCACTTCAGAGTCATTTAGAAGAACTCCCAAGTCACTAAAACCCTGAGCTCTCAGTGTCAAAATGCATTTTTCCATATGTCTTGTGTCATATAATAAAGAAAGACAAAATATATGCATAAATGAGACTCACAAGACTTGGTTTGCACTTTCTATATATGACACACTGTTTATCTGTTTTCTTTCATACTTTTACTTTGTACCATTATCCATATTGTCATTATGGACAATTTAATTGCTCACGTACAATTTCTCAGGCTTCCTGGAATACATTCGTGTCTGTTACCTCATGCTTGTACTACCCCAAAGATGTCACAAGTTGTACTCTAAAGATGCCACAAGTTAGAAAAAAAATTGAAATTAAACATTGCCAAAATTATTACAAACAGATTATTCCTACACAGAAATTATATAAAGGAAATATTCTATGAACCTACTAAGACCTAAGCCACTGTAGTTTCTTTACAGGGGTAAAAAAGCACACCTGAGGAAAGACTGGCTGGTCTGATAGTCAAGTGTCTTTGAAGCTTACATAAATGCGATTTATATATTTATTTTGTGGTTATATATATATATATATATGCTCTTAATCCGAAATCATATATATATATATATATGATTTCGGATTAAGAGCATTATTTAAAAAAATATTACAGTAATTACTCTTAAACTATTTTACCCATGCACACATAAAACCAAGACCTAGTGCATAAATAGAGTTCCTGGGCATTGGACCAAACTCAACATGACCAGAATCCAGGATAGTAGCTTTCAGAGCCATCAGGTTATCAGTGTTTGTATGTGCTAACAAGAAAAAATATACAAGGGCAGACCATATAAAATTCTACTAAATTTCCCTCAAACAATTTATCTGTATTTTGTGAGCAACTGAAATATGGAAAACATAGACACATTCCTATTCAAATTTAAAGGACATTATTTTGGACTTTGTGTGTGTGCGTGTGCGTGTGTGTGTGTGTGTGTGTGTGCGTGCACACACACACCAACAATCATTTGTTTATTTATTTATTTAAATTTAAATCCAAGTTAGTTAACATATAGTGCAGTAATGGTTTAAGGAATGAATTTAGTGATTCATCACTTACATGTAACACCCAGTGCTCATTCCAACAAGTGTCTTCCTTAATGCCCCTCACCCATTTAGCCCATCCCCTCACCCAACACCCTGCCAGCAACCTCAGTTTGTTCTCTGTTTAAGAGTCTCTAACAGTTTGTCTAACTCTCTGTTTTTATATTATTTTTCCTTCTGTTATGTTCATCTGTTTTGTACATTAAATTCCACATATAAGTCAAATCATACAATATTTCTTTCTCTGAATGACTTATTTTACTTCGCGTAATACACTCTAATTCCATCCAAGTTGTTGCAAAAATGGCAAGATTTATTTCTTTTTCATAGGCAAGTAATATTCCATTGTGTGTGTGTGTGTGTGTGTGTGTGTGTGTGTGTGTGTGTTTGCACACATACACACCACTTCTTTTGTGTGTGTGTGTGTGTATGTTATGACCATTTTTTTTTTGTTTTTAAAAAAATAACATTTATTCCCATCACCCTCGGTTTTTAAGAGTCTCTTATGCTTTGGTCTCTCCCACTCTAACCTCTTTTTTTTTTTCCTTACCCTCCTCCATGGATTTCTGTTACGTTTCTCAGGATCCACATAAGAGTGAAAACATATGGTATCTATCTTTCTCTGTATGGCTTATTTCACTTATATCACACTCTCCAGTTCCATCCACATTGCTACAAAGGGCCAGATTTCATTCTTTCTCATTGCCATGTAGTACTCCATTGTGTATATAAACCACAATTTCTTTATCCATTCATCAGTTGATGGACATTTAGGCTCTTTCCATAATTTGGCTATTGTTGAGAGTGCTGCTATAAACATTGAGGTACAAGTGCCCCTATGCATCAGAACTCCTGTATCCCTTGGG